AGAAAGGAATGCAGCCTGGCTGACACCTTGACTTGAGCCTTGTGAGACCCTAAGCAGAGAATTCAGTTCACTTCTGCCATGTGCAGACTTCAAACCTACAGAAACTGTGAGACAAATCTGTGTCAGTTTAACCTTCAAAGTTTGTGAAAATCTGTTGCAGAAATAGAAAATGATTACAAGGGGTTTATTTATTTATTTATTTTTGCTCAAAAGTTGTGAGCAGCAGAGACCCTTCTTGCTAAGGAGCAGCTAAATAAGTAAGGATCTTCACAGCAAAGTTCCAGATCGGTCACTGTGCTCAAGGGGGTGAGGCGGCTGGGCCTCTTGTTTTCTAATCTGGATCTGTGCAGTCCAATATGGTAGTTGTGAGCCATGGATGGTTTAAACTGAAATTTAAATGAGTTGAAATTAAATAAAATTTTAAAGTTTTTTTCCTCTGCTGTATTAGCTATGTTTTAAGTGTTCAACATCACTATGTGGCTAAGGGCCATTGAACTGGAAGGCACAAATACAGAACATTTCCTTCATTACAGAAAGTTCTGTTGGGCGGTTCTTGTCCAGATGATTAACAGTGATAACATCCAATGACAACTGTGGTTTTTCTCATTTGGTGCACAGAGAGATAGGATTCCTGTACTCTCTTGTAGAATTATTACAGAGCAGAATGCAGGCAAATTTCTCTCAACTGCAGCAAGAAAATGTTTGAAGTTTGTGAAAACTTTCATGTCTCTACTTTTTTTCCTTATCACTTGCATAAATTTTCTCTTGGAGATAGAAAGCCCTGAATTTGCAGTAGAATACTTTAGAAATACCAGTGACAGGGAATCAAGGCGCATTTTTTTCCAGATGAAGGATGAGTTACCATATGAGGTATGGCCATAAGGCCCCTGACTTTGACTGCAGGATTTTCTAAGGGTCTCTTGTACAGTAAGACAAGGTTGCTACTGGGGCAGATCAATAAGATCACCCCCTGAAGCCAACAAACCCCCAAAGGCTATTGCTATAGTTAGACTGGCCTCTTTATGTTGGTTTCCAATGCCCCAAAGTGACACTAACCAAAGAGGAAAAGAGGCTTATTCTCCAGGAGACTGAAGCATCTTTTGCCTTAGGCTTAAACAACAAAAGTTGAGACATAAGACTTGGTGGCCAGGACTTACCTGGTGGTCCAATGGTTAAGACTACACCTTCCAATGCAGGGGGTTTGGGTTTGAGCCCTGGTTGGGGAGGTAAGATCACACATGTTTTGCAGTCCAAAAATCAGAATATAAATAACAAAAGCTGATATTATAACAAGTTCAATAAAGACTTTGAAAAAAGTTGTCTTTAAAAAAAGACTTCAGGGCCAGAGCATATGTGTGCCTGCGTGTTTAGTTGCTTCAGTCATGTCTAGCCCACCAAGCTCCTCTTGTCCAGGCAAGAATACTGGAGTGGATAGCCATTTCCTTCTCCGTGAGATCTTCCCAACCCAGGGATTGAACCTGGGTCTCTGGACTGCAAGTAGATTCTTCACTGCCTGAGCCACTTGGGGCTCAATCGTAACTGGTGATCAGGGACTAAAGCTTGTAGGTGATGCAGTTGTAGAGGTGTGGCACAGGCCAAGGGAAAGAACCTGGCTTTGGGGTTAGAAGACCTGAGTCTCAATCCTGTAGCCATATTCCTGTGTTACCCTGAGCTAGTTAAGGAACCTTTGTGAGCCTTAATTTTTTCATCTGGGACACAGGTGAAACAATTGGAGGATAATAATCTCTGATTCTTGGGGTTGTTGTAGGGTTATTATGGGGATTAAAGGAGAGAATTGCATACAATGTCTGGAGCACAGGAGTTGCTCAGGTAATAGTAGCCAGTGTGGTTACTCACACATGTGTCAGCCCCAGGTTACACAAGGAAAGACCATTCACCCGATACCCTGGCCAGTCACATATGTAGTCTTGTCTCTATTCGTGCCCTAATCCTAGCTCCTATGGCCAGAGCCTCACATGAGGCAATTCAACACTTGCACTCCCCACCAAGAATCCTACAATTTGAAACATCCCACTTACTCACCTCTACTTGGTACACTCCTCTGAACATCTGATTCCTTGCAGTCCTCCATATCACTAATACTGGCAGTCCATCATTTCACTAAGAAAATATAAGCAGCCAGAATAGAACTTCCGTAAGCTCTCACCACCACGTCTACCCATCTCTGGTATCTGTGCACAGATGCTGCCTTTCTTCCTGCCGTGATGGGTGCGCTGTCTGTGCTTCTGTGTAAGTCAGCCTTGCCACTTCTGCACTGGATCCAGCCCCTCTTCCCTACTCTAAATTTCACTCCTGCAATTGCCCTTCTCCTGAACCTTTAAGTTTTTTCTTTTTCACTGGATCATTTTCATTGCATCAAATATACCTTACCATTTATCATATATAAAAACTCCTCCTCGATCCTTATCTTTTGTTATCTGCTACCTCTTTTCTCTGCTCACTTTATAGTGTCCTTCACTGGTGTTTGCTCATCACCCTGAATTCTAAATGTCAGAGTGTCTCAGGGTTTGCTTCTCAGAACTCCATCCTTCTCTGCCTATACTCATTCCCAGGGGATGGACACAGTTCCATGACTTTAAACACCTTAATCTTGCTGCCAGATTTGTAGGCCCTCCCTGGACCGCTCCCCTGAACTGCAGAACACGAAACTAGGCACCTGCTTAACATCTCAACTGAATGCCTATTAGGCATCTTAACCTTAATATGTTCAAAAATGTATTGATTTTCAGCTCCCAACTCCCAAACCTGCTCCTTCCACAGTTGTCTCTGAATTCAATACATGGAACTCTGTTCTTTCATTTGCACACACGTAAAAATTTCAGTTTCCCCTTTGTCTCTTCTTTTTCTCTTACATACTGCATCTAGTCCATCAGAAAGCAAAGTGAGATCAAGAATCCTGAAAGGCTGTTTCAACCAGGTCAGAGAAAATTCCTAGTCACCAAATAATACTCCATTCGTGAGAATTATTACATAACGTAGGTGTGTTTAGTCTTAATTCAGCAAATAAATTTGGAACATTTATCACACTCCAGGCAATGTTCTAGGTGCTAGGGATATAACAATGAACAAAACATTTCATGGAGCTTACCTTCTGCCAAAGGGAGACAGAAAACTTGTCAGATGGTTAAGGAGAAACACTTTTAGGGTTAAGGGGATGTAAAAGTGAAGGCAGGAGGCTGTTTCAGGTAGGGTGATCATCTGTGACTTCTGCAGTAAGATGCCAGTTAAGCATAGATATTTAAGCATTAAGCAGAGTGAGCCATGCAGATATCTGGGAATAAATGATTCAAGCAGGAAGGGGATATGCAGAGGTCGTAAGGCGAACGCATTCTTGGGATACCCCAGGAGTAGGATGAAAGAACCTGTAGAGTGAGTGAGGAAGGTATTGGGCTACAGTGAGATCAGAGAATAGGGGTAGAGCATGCAGTCCAAGAAGACATCTGGGCTTTTATTCTAAGAAGTAGGAAGCCAATGGAGATACATCATGATCCTTTACATTTAAAAGGATCAGCCTAACATCCTTATCATATTTACCAATACTGGACTTTAGCAGGGAGACAGTGGAAACCAGGAGACTAGTTAGGGGGCCTAGTTCATTAGTCGAGGTGCAGGAAGATTGTCCCCATTTAAAATGGTTACTGTGGATATAGCAGGAAGTACTGAATTTAGAATTCATTTTGAAGGTAGAGCTGACAGGCTTTGGTAAGTATATGGTAATAGGTACACAATTTATATTTGTTGAGTGATGAATACACAAAGTATTCTGGGGGTATGTGCGTGCATGCATGCTCAGTTGTATATGACTCTTTGCAACCCCATGGATGGTAGCCCGCCAGGCACCTCTGTTTCTTGGAGTTTTCCAGGCAAGAATACTGAAGTGGGTTGCCATTCTCTGGGGGTGAGGCAGGACATTTTCCTGACCTGGATGAAATTTCCCAGCCATTGACAGTCCACCCTCTGTTTTCTCTCATGCTTATTTGCAGTGGTCTGATGACTGATATTTTGTTCCATATCTAGGGAGGGATGTCCTGAACATTGAACACCATGATATTGTCACTGGAAAATATCTACAACTCTTAGTAATTGGGATTCTGGATTATTTGTAATTCTCTTGCCAGTTTCAGATCATTTTTCTTTATGCTGATTAAATTGAGCTCCTGGTCGAAAAACCTGGAGCCCAAACTCTGGAACTTGGAAGTCCCACATGGTCCTTTCACACTGTTGACTCATTCCCATTAATTGGAATCTTTGTTGAGGGTTTTCTCTCATTTTAGCAATACTTGCTTCTTATTACTCTTCAAATTCATATCATTAAATTTCTAATTTGTGGAATAATAAAATAGGGCAGAAACTCAGTTATCATTGTCAGAGATTTATAGAGTTCTTCTTTACTTCCGAGCCTTTTACTTCAATTCCAAGGGCAGCAATAACGCCTACCATGGCCAGGACAAGGGTGAAGCAAGTGAAGTGCCTCGGGTGCAGCACTGAAGGAGGTGTTCACTTCCAGAGCTGAGGATGTGCAGGTGGGCACCTGGGAATGGGGGTCTCCTGAGAAGCTGTGCTCTGGGCACCTTGGGCGCCTCCCTCCAGTCCTGGCCCTTCTACTGCCTGCAGAAAAGCATTTTGGTTTATTAGCCGGGCAGCTGTAGCATCAAGAGCAAGACCAGTTCCCCACTGTTTGACCGTGACTGTGCAAGAGAAAGCTGCTCTCAGAGAAAGCAAATGGCATGGAGAGGAACCATGTTCTGGGAAGCTTTACCAATTTAGAAATTAAAACCAGTGGGAAAAGGGTGATGAACATCATGGAATTTTGCTTTGTAATCAAGCCAACAAGCCACTGGCATTCTGTTTGTTGAGGGCTATCTGGATCTAGTCATCCTATCTATAGCATTTCTATCCAGTTTGCAATTTCTCAGATAAAGTACTTAAAAACTGTTTATTCTCAACTGCCTCCTGTGCCTTCTTTTTATATGTTCCAGAAGTTAACAGAACAAATAAATGGCTTCAGTGTAAATGCTTTGGACAGTCAGGTAAGGGCTTATTTTTAAGGTTGGCTTAACAAATTCCATTTTCAAAACAAACCCAAACTGAGTGAGTGATTCTAAATTAGCTCCTTAGTTTTCCCCCCTACCCAGTGATAATGCCACTATTAATTTCAATTATTTAGAGGCAACATTAATGTGTGAAACAAGAACAGCGATAAAGACAGAAAGGAATAAATTACTCCCTGCAAGACAGAATGACATTTTGACTGGCACACAGATTTTTTTTCCTTCACACACTTTGTGCTTTGACATTTCACTTGGCACAAACATCTCACAAATTCTTGACCTATTCTGATGTACTGTTGTTTAGCAATTGCTGACATGACACATTTTAACCTCAAGCTCGCTGGATTCCAAATGTTACCTTTTTCTGTCAATCAGGGTTGGATGACCTCCAAAAAACAGTCCAGGCAAAAGTCTGTGTACCTAGGAGGATAAGTGTTTGCTCAGAATAGAGAAAGAGTAGCCTGAAGTAAGATTTGGGGGAAAGGCAGGAAAGAAGGTGTCATTTAGGCAATTATGGGGTGAAAAGAGGAGGAAGACAGATCCCTAGGGAACCTCAACATCTTGAAAGACAACAGCCCTAAACATAAAATACCTAGGAATAAACCTAACAAGAAATAGCTGGGGCAATATGACAAAAATATAAAACTTAGAAGAGATTTAAATATTGGAAAAATACATAATCTTCCAACAGAGGAAAACTGTATCGTATAAAGATGTCACTTCTCAAATTACCTTTTAAGTATGACTTGATTGCCTCTAAGCCTCACTGACTGTGGGTGCTGTAAGGAGGTCACAGTCTTATTATTACTCAGATTTTGCTAGCTTGTTAGGTGCTATTGACATCTTCTATCTCCCAGATCTTTACTGAAGAATAAACCAATTTACAGTGCTCTGCTTGATATCCTTTTTTAAGGGTTCTATCATTTAAAAATGCTTTCAGCTACAAGTAATAAAACACCAACAATGGTTCAAATAATAAAGATTTTCATCATCTCCATCATTAAACCAGTTTCAGGTATAATGCATTGGCTTACTCAACAAAATCATCAAGGACCTAGGCTTTTTCTGTGTTTCCATTCTTGCCAACCTGAGAAAATTGCTTTTGTTGAAAGAACCACAGCTCCAAGTGTGATGTCCACACATAACCACGTTCAAGTCAGGAAGAAGGGGTGGGCAAAGGAATTTCTTTTTGCAAGGCTGTGTCTTTTTATCAGACAGGACAAACTTTTCTAGAACCATTCCCAACAGACTTCCCCTTAATCTCATGGTCCAAAGCTGGGTCATGTTGCCTGCCAGTCTAGACCAATCATTTGCCAAGGGGGACTGCAACTGCCATGACTGACTTTGACCAAACATGATTCATTCACAGGTGCTGGGAACATGGCTACAGGAACCAAACTCTGGTTCTATGAACTATGAAGAAAGGGGCCTGACTGTTGGGTAAGCAGCCACAGCATTTGCCCAAAGAGGCAGTACCCATAGGCATTTGAGAGCCCCCTCACAAAAGCACTGCACTGCTGGCTTCTCCAGACTCCTCTTTGATCTGCAAAGCAAGCTCTCCTTAGTGGTTGCTCCCAGCCAGTCTCCAGGCTGCATGGCCTCCTGCAGTAAGGAGGGGCAGAATGGCCTTCTCAGTAGCGTGCACTGTGTTACCTGGGTCCCACGGCAACACTCCTGAAACCAGTCTTTCACAGGTGCTCATGAAAACGGCTCCCACAGCTCCTGCCTCTGGTTCCTCCTCCATGGTGACTTCATCGGAGTCCCTGCAGGTGGGCTCACTCAATATCCTTTCTCATCTCTCTTCTCCTATCTCCATTCTAGAAGCTGGAAACCAAACATTTTGTAGCCTCCTTTACAGGGAAATGTAGTCATGTGTGTGACAGTTTGGGGTAATGATATGGAAGCAGACATTTGCCAGGGGTTTCTGGAAAAACATTTGCTTTCATGATACAGGACTTGGCTTTGCCTTGGATTATAGGGTTACAGAAGTTTAACATGACCTCAGTCAAAATATTAATGGGATATTTAGGTGGAGGGGAAAACAGCAAAATTATTCTACAATTTGCCTGGAAAAAGACACAAGTGAGGATACTTAGAATACTAGCTTTATTGGAACAGGGATTATATCAAAGTAATTTCCTCATTATTTCTTCCAGTGCTTTTATGATACGAGACTTCCTAATTCTGATATTCATGAAATATTTACCTTATTTTTCTGGTTTTATTTTCTATATTCAAAATACTTATATATCAAAAATCACTACAAGCAAAGGTATGAGGCAAGCAACAAATGGGGAAAAGTCTTGCATGGTGACATGGGAGCGTGATATCGGGGGTGGGGTGAGAGCTAGGGTTACTGGAGTCTGGGGTCTCCTTGATACCACAGGCTTGTGGTATTATCATCCCCCAATACAACTGTTGTTGTTTATCTCCAGGGCTTTCCTGGTGGCCCAGTGGTTAAGAATCTGCCTTGCAGTGCAGGGGACATGGGTTCAATCCCTGGTCAAAGAACTAAGATCCCACAAACAGCAGGGTAACTAAGCCTGAGCATTGCAACTACTGAGCTCAAGAGCTCTGGGACCTGTGGGCCACAACTAGAGAGTCTGTGCCCTGCAGTGAAAGATCCTCTGTGCTGCAACTAAGACCAGATGTGTCTAAATAAATAAATATTTTTCTAATTTAAGATTAAGTTAATGATACTGCTAGAAACATTAAAAAAAAAGAAGTTAGGTAACTTGTCCATTGTCAAGTGGGATGGACTGAATTCCAATCCAGGTGTTACTAATGATAAGAAGCCAAGGTTTGTGCTCTCTCTACTACACCCCACTGCCAATGAACTCTTAACTGAGAAAAGTTAACTTTTCCACAAATAGAAATAATCAGAGGAGTGGTGGAAGAGGGCTTTTGAGAGATATGGAAAGCAGGAAGAATGTAAATTAATGGGGAAAGATGAAAATGAAAGTTATCTATACACATAGTACAAATTGGGTCTAGGATCATTGGGAACTGGTAGGTAGGAAGGTTGGACCCCAAATCTGTGTTGCTTGTGACCTGGATTGAATTCCTGGTCACACATAGCCAAGCAGTATATAATGGAAAGTCCAGACCTTTTATATCCAACAGATCTTTGTTGATCCCGCTTCATCACATACTAACCACATATCAAAACGAGGATAAAACTGAATCCTTAAGTAATCCAACCATAGCCTCCATCACATTGCAAGTTTCTCTTTTCCAAGGATACTGAGGTTGGGGCTGTTGCTCCTGGTGTTTGATTCCTGCTAGATTGCACTCCCAGACACCAGTGCTATATCCCGGCGCCATAAAGCTGTAGGCATGACAGCTTTTGTTGCCAGCAAGAACCCAATAAGCATAATTTAATTCTGGTTGCAAGTATCCATCCAAACTCCATGCATTTAGTACTCTCCACTATTTTCCCTGGCCTGATTCTGCATAAAGATTACACAGTGCACCCATAGCCCTCCAGAGAATACTATTTTTTTATAGGTATACCATATTTAAATGGGAGTGGCCGTTGTGTATTGACAAAGGTAATGCAATTAAATAAAAGCAATTGCGATCATGATGGATAATTTCTATTGGTCCTATTCATATAATAAATGTGAATAGTAAAATCCATGATGAAATAGTTCCATTTAAAACTAATGTTGCTCAATTTATGGCCAGCTTTTCAAAATCTTAACTTCAATCACTTTCTTACTCAACACAATTATAACCATAAATAATTCAAATTGATTAAATTTGAAAATGAAAAATTCAATTTATGGAAAGTTACAAAGCATAGTCAAATGTGGCAGATCAGATAGCACATGAAAATTGGCTTACATTGTTTGCAAGGAAATTTTTTTTGGCAAAGAAATTCTTAATACAAAGAAATATGATTAATTATAAGATTAATTATTTATAATAATAATTATTATTAAAAATAAGATGATCAAACTTTTCAATAAACAGAACTGAAGATTATCACAATAACTTCTAAAAATAAATAAAAGTGACTGATGTGATATGATAATTTGTATTCTCTTCTTCTTATATTTACTAATAAATAAGAATACTCAATTAAAAATGGCCATATTCTTTTCCTAGTTTAGCATATTTGCTTTTTATTGTACAATTGCTCTGAGCTACTGCTTTGATGTCTTTAAAAGCTTTAATTTTGCTACAGACCTTGAAATTAATTTAGAAACAATTTGATGTTCAATTTTTTCAGTAAACAAAGAAACAAGCTGGTAAAACTAATCACCGTGCATCAATATGAACATATTTAATGAGTGTGTATGGGAGGAAAAAACATTTTCTTGCTTCAGATGGTTCTTAAATATTTATAGTACTGTAGTTAAATACGAGCACGCATATCAAGGCATTTCCTGGTACATAGTATGTGGTTAGGAAATGTTTGTTGAATAAATGATTAGTACACTTTATCAAACAAATAAGTTTACATCATTGTGCCATATACATATTCTCCAAAAATCATGGAATTTTAAATATTAAAAAGGTATTCTAATGATGTGCGGAGTATTTACATGAGGTGGTAGGGCACAAAGTCCTCAGACAAGTGTGAATCTCGTGTCTGTTTTGTTTGCCACATAGCATATCAATTCTAACCACCTCTTCCAGATCCCCTCCCATTTCTGCACCTGTGAACTTAAACTCCATTATTATTAGAAAGGTTCCATCCTTCCCCTAGGGAAGCCACGTTTTTCATTTCTTATTTTAGAAAGAATCTCTGTTGGATTAGATGGACTTGTACAATTTTCTTTGGCTTTTCAAAATATAAAACATTTTTCATTGTGTGCCCCCAGACCTGGGAAAAACCTTCTAAACTCAATTCTACTTTGGTTTTTCAATTTATCCTACTGCTTCTTAGTGGGTCATAACCTTTTTGTTTCCTACATTCATTTTAAGTCTCTCAAATCCATGCAATTTTGTCTTGTGCTTCCTCCAAATGTTTAGTGACCATCCATCAATCCAACTGCATGCTGGCATTTTTAGAGTTAAAAAGAACTTTAATTTACTAGCACATTGGCCTAACAGATGTTCTTGCTTGAGGACACAGAAGGCATCTCTCCTGCAGGCGGTGTTACCAGGGACCATTAGGTACACTGAGCCAAAAGAGCTTCTGGTGGCTGGGATAAGGTTGAGGTACAATGAGTGAGACCTACAGCATGTGAGGGGTCAACCAGGAAGTCCCATCAGTCGCTGAAATAGAATTTACTCAAGACTCTTTGTCAGGAGATGGGAGAGTGGTCATGGGACATGGCACATTATGGAGGACCTGGCTTATGCCTCTCAGCTTCTCTCCTGAGGACTTTGGGAACACCCACACAAATGCCCTACTCACATCCTATGTACTGGATGCTGAATTGTCCAACCATTTCCCCCTCCCCCTTTCCCACAGGTCCACTTTCCTTTTGGCACCAGTCTCTCCTCCCCATCTCCCCCCCGTAGCTGGCTACCTCAAGGAAGCTGACCCTCTTTTGGTTCCCAGGCTGGGACTCATTGGCCCAATGACTCACCCCTTTGTTAGGAAGTGGGTAGTGAATGTGCACGTGGCCCAGTTTCAGTCAGTAGGATTTTACTGTGTTTTTGGGAAAGGACTTCATCGATTTCTAGGAGAGTTCCTAGTAGCAGCTGACTTTCTCTTCCTATGGCTGCTGTTACAGTCCTGAGGCCTCCTGCCTGAGGAAGAAACCAAAACACAGAGGATGGCATTGTTGGAGGACAGAGGAGGCTTTTTCACCCATAATTTGGGAAGACAGTCTTTGTCCTTTCCCTACCTCCTTTCCTTCCACGAAGGGGGACCTAGAAAAAATTGTGCTAAAATACACACAACATAAAATTTTACCACAGTAACTATTTTAAGTGTACAATTCAGAGGAATTAAAGTATATTTGCCTTGTGGTGCAACCATCATCACTACCCATCTCCAGAAATTTATCATTACCCAAACTGAAACTCTGTACCTATTAAATATGAAAATGGACTTTTATTTAGTATGTGTGTATGTATGTATGTACTTTTATTAAAGTATAGTTGATTTATGATGTTGTGATTGTTTCTGGTGTACAGCAAAATGATTCATATATAGATCCTTTTTCAGGAGGCTTTCCTGGTGGCTCAGGGATAAAGAATCTGCCTGCAATGCAGGAGACAGAGGCGATGTGGGTTTGATCCCTGGGTCAGGAAGAGCCCTTGGAGGAGGGCATGGCAACCCATTCCAGTATGCTTGCCTGGAGAATTCCATGGACTGAGGAACCTGGCAGGCTGCAGTCTATGGGGTCGCAAAGAGTTGGACATGACTGAAGCAACTGAGCATGCACACGCATATTCTTTTTCAGATTCTTTTCCATTATGGTTTATAACAAGATAGTGAATATAATTCCTTGTGCTATACAGTATGACTGTTGTTTTAATCTCTTTTATGTACAGTATTGGGTATCTGCTAAGTATTAATTCCTAATTTACCCACCTCCTCCTTTCCCCTTTGGTAACTGTAAAATTATTTTCTGTGTCTATATCTGTTTCACTTTTGTGAAAAAGTTTCTGTCATATTTTAGATTCCACTTAGACCCCACTTATATAAGTGACATCATATGATATTTGTCTGACTTTACTTAATATGATCATCTCTAGGTCTATCTGTGTTGCTGCTAATGGCTTTATTTCATTCTTTTTATGGCTGAGTAATATTCCATTGTACCATACTTCTTTTTCTATTCTTCTGACAACAGACATTTATATTGCTTCCATGTTTTACCCATTGAAAATTGTGCTATTATGAACATTGGGGGATATGTATCATTTTAAATTATGGTTTTCTCCAGGTATATGCCCAGGGATGGGATTGCTGGATCATATGATAGCTCTATTTTTAGTTGTTAAAAGAACTTTCATACTCCTTCCCATAGTGACTGCACCAATTCACATTCCCCCCAGCATCAATGTAGGAGGGTTCCTAAAAAGGAAATTTTAATCTGGCTGGATTCCAGGGTGCACACTTCTCCCTCACTTCCTGGAGAAGGTGGTCACATGTGTTTGAATGTCATACACGTAGGGGTGGCTCTCTCTCTCTGGCTTTTCTCTCTAGAAAAGCCAGAGGATGAGCTGAGTCAATGCCGTCTCCCCGGGGAAGGCCTGGACATCTTGGTCCCTCCACTTCTGTTTCAATGAGAAAGTACCTCAAGAAGGCTGGTGGTTGGTCGGAAAAAAAAAAAAATTTGTTGTTTACCTGCAGTTCTACTTTTACTGGACATCCTATATTTTTATTTGCTAAATCTGGCATCCCTATGTAAGGAGAATGAATTCTATTGAGTGAGGTGACTGGAGACCTTGAAGGACCACTGGCAGTAGCAGTGGACCCCAGTGCATGGCAATAAGGATAAAGCAAGAAGCTGGCTCTCTCGGCAGAGACCAGCAAGAAGAGAGGATTGTGGGCCCAGCTGAGACTCTATATCTTCATTCCTGTTGTCTGGATAAAACATAAATTACACCTCATACCCCACCCTGAGCTTAGACTGTGGAGGTTGGTAGGGAGGAGAACAGAGACAGAATCCTTAACTGGTTTAGTATTAACCCAAAAAAGATAGACCTGAGGGTGTGTGCGCATGGGGAAATGTGAAAGTGACCGAGTTCTGTACTGGTAAGACTGAGTTGAAATGAGAACTTAAGCACTAAGTTCAGTTACAGTGTAATAAAGTCATGTTTTCATATTTGAGCCTGGGAGTTAAAATCTGAACCTGCTACAGATTAAAAATTCAGACTGACGAGTATGTCTCCAAGGTCCCTTCTGTACTGAAAATTCCATAGCTATAGAGATGAGGCTCGAGGACCTGAAAAGAAAAGTGAGACAGAAGCTAGATGGGGGTTGCAGTATTAGAAAAAACCCTATTAAGTGCCTGGTTACAGGAGACCTAACAAATGAGCCTGGATGGGAAGAAGGGTAAGGAAAATCATTACTACTGTGCATTTAAGCTGTCCCTGTTTTGAGTTTGCTACCTTTTAAACATTTACAGTTGAGAACATGCTGGAGTTAATTATTATTAGCAGTGAGAGGCAGCTGATTTATGTTGATTAAGCTGATTTAAGAGCTGTTTTCTTAAGAGAACTATGGCCAGGCTTTCTAGGGAAACAACCAGTGAACAAACATGTTTTTACAGGGAGAGCCACAAAGGACTCTCGACACAGGAAGTCTGAAAGCTGAAGGAATAGTTGCAGAGTGCCCCATGTTCAACTTCCTGCTCAAACAGGCAGTACGTGCTGCAAGCATAGGGTGTCCTCCCTGTTTCCAAAGAGGGTGAAAGGCTTCATCTGGAGCTCCCCAACCCCAGCAGAGGAAAAAGGGTGACTAACCAGTGGGAAAGACACATGCCAGTCAGAAAGCCAGAATGGAAACCTTCCTAAGAGAGATGGGAGTTTAGCTAATTTCAGGAGGCTTGAGAGTAAAAGCGATCCAGTGGAAGGGCTAGTGGAGGAGAAACATTTCTTCCTGGGGCCAAGAAGGTGGCTTTGAGCTCCTGCCCAGCCATGTCCCACACTTACCTGCAGTCAGAAAGCAGACCATGCACTGGTAGGAGCAGGAACAAGCAAGCCTGTTCCTTCCCAGTGAGGAAGAAGTGAGTCACAGAGGTTGGTGAGTAACTCCCTTTGGCGGAACCATGTAGCCTGACCCAGACAGCAGTGGTGAATTGTCATTCTGGAGCATGGAGGCATGGCTGCCACCCACCAGTATATATTAGTCCTATCAATCAATACTCACCCCTACAAATTTATATATAAAGGAGTGAGTGAGGCAGAAGAAGTCTGCCATGTATATCTTTTCTGGCTTTGAAGTCCCATATAAAATACATGGAAGGCTAAAAGCAGAGGTGGGCAGTGGTCACCATCATCTTGCCTTGTATTTTAAAGGTTGCCCCTAGTGAAGAATAATGAGGAGTGAAAACTGAAGTATTGGTTAATCCTGGTATTAAGTATCAGGCTTTAGTTTTCTAGATGGTGGTTTTTGATACCAGAACTTCTGGCAGAGATTTTGCACTGTATCTGGGAAGACCTGTTTGACAGGAAACACCTATCTAATTGAGAGATTTTACCCAAAATTGGAAGGAGTGGGGAGAAATTGGTCTAATAGCGCCATGAAACCAGTTATCATGGCAGATAACCACTACAGCACAAAAAGAATATGAAATTCATGTGGAAGCATCCAGTAAATGAATTAGAAGCAATGTCCATAGACACTGAGATCTAGTCTGTAAGGTGCAGAATCAGGGAAAAAAAAAACACAAAATGTATTCAACATTTTTACACAATGAGGTAAATATAATCCCACAGATATGATGTGCAATGGGAAGAACAAATTGCTGGCCCAGGCCTGTCATATCCACGAGAAGGGTGTCAGAAAAGCTAAAGCCAAGAACAAGCCAAAACTTGTGGGGGAAAAAAAAAACTAAAGACAAGCAAAAGTTTTTTTTTAAAAAAACTCTGTAACAAGAAGTACACGGAGGGTGTAGTTCTGCTGTTCGGGAAATTTAGCACAATATTTGCAGACAATAAAGATCAAGGGAAAGTACATAACAAGGGTAGTGGATTCAATCACTTATAAAGCAAGCATGAAGGCTAAAAGATAAAAGTAGCAAAATTAACTAAAATTATAATCGTTAAGGGATGCATGAAATAAAAAGATTTAAAATGTCATCAAAAGTATAAAATATGGAGGTGGGTAAAATGATAAAGCTTTGGGATGTGTCCAAATTTAAGTTGTACCAGCTTAAAATAGATGACTATTTACATAGAATGTTATATGTGCACTGCACAATAACCACAAGGAAAAAAATTATAGTAGGTACACACAAAAAATGAGAAAGGAATCTAAACAGAATGTTAAAGAAAATCACAAAAGCACAAGGGAAGAGAAAAAGAGAATAAGAAAAGAACAGAGAAGAGCTAGAAAAACAGCCAGAAACCAAAATGGCAATAAGCACATATCTATCAATAATTACTTTAAAGGTAATTAAGACTAAGTTCACCAATCAAAAGACATAGAGTGGCTAAATGGATAAAAAATAAGACCTATCTCTATGCTGCCTCCAAGAGACTCACTTCAGAAGAAAGGACACACAGCATGAAAGTGAAGGTGTGAAAAAGATATTCTATGCAAATGGAAATAAAAGGTGAAGTAGCTATACTCATATCAGACAAAATAGACTTAAAAATGCTTAATGATAAAGGGGTCAATCCATAAAAACATATAACATTTATAAATGTATATGCACCTAACAGAGGAGCACCAAGATATATAAAGTGAATATTACTGGATTTAAAGGGAGAAATTGAAAGCAATAAATAATAGTAGAGGACTGTAACACCTTCACTTACACCCAAAGAGTAGATCATCCAGATAGAAAATCAATAATGAAACATGGAATTTAAATGACACATAAGACCAGATTGACTTTACACACACACACACACACACACACACACACACACGCGCACATGACATTCTATCCAAAAGCAGTGAATAGTTCACATGGAACATTCTCCAGAGTAAATCACATTAGAGCACAAAATTAGTCTCAAATTCAAGACTGAAATCATATAAAGCATTTTCCATAGAAACTACAGGCTATATAGATTACAATGATATTAAACTAGAAATCAATCACAAGAAAAACCA